CAGATCATAAAGACCATTAGACCAATGTAAGCAATGATCTGAAGACTTCACAAAACTGGTGCTCTGATTATACGGCTAATAGATTACAGCACTGGGCAACAATGCCACAAAGTTACGATTTCAGTCGACAAATACTACCGGTCAAGCCGACGCTCTTCCTCGAATAATTGGGGTTCAGCTTGTTTTATACCAGGGCACTGTAAATCAAAAGGCGTTCCCGTAGCCACAGCTATTCCATAGACATTAGACAGTAATTCGTTGACTATGACTAACTTGTTGGTTATTTCACAATTATACAAATTGACCATCAATTGGCAAGGGTACTTTTACATTGGTTTTCAGGCGAACCAAGGAGACTGCCCACGTGTTAACATTTCGACGTGAACAGTTGAGCTCAGTCCCGTAGCGCATCATACGGGTACCTGACACCCTTGAGGACCATTCACACCATTTATATACATCAGAACATATGTAGTGATCATTTCTGATCCATGATCGCGTCAATCACTATGCATAGCATGAACAGGCCAATTTGACCCATCCTGCTTACATAACTGTCAAACTCATTATTATTAGCAATGATGATATGACAATGACAATCGTCTTCGGGAATGTTGCAAAACAACCACTAGTATCAATGAAATCGGTCACCCTGCCAACCAAATTTGTATATGGACTGTTAGCAATACTTATCAAAGCAATACCAAGCTATCCACAATGTTCACAGCGACCCTCTGATCTCATAGGAAACTTTCAGCCCTATATAGCACTATAGCTTATGGTAAACACATCGTATGGCACAGGATAACAAGAGATGCAGTCCAGGTTCATACAAATGTACTCAAACATAATTATTAGCCTTTTGTCTCGCAATACCGAAATTTTCATTTTTCGACCATATGAGACCTGATTTAGGGTAATAACATGTTCGTTATGAGACCATTAATTTGTGATTACATGTAGGTGATATGTCCCAGATTATTCCCAGTGATGTAGATACATTCGCTTAGTGTTTTCGCTTATCTGTTAAGTTTTAAAACTATCTTATACTTTCCATTTCACCTACTGATTTTTTTCAAATAATATCTATCTATTATCTATTCTACTACCGCCAACACTGTCACTGTTTCTACAATTCTGACATATTTGTTGAAGTGCATTTGTGCCACGATCTACGTTTTTCATAAATGTTGACTGGTACTAAATAGCAAATCCACCGACTCTCTCAATGAGGTTGAAAATATTATATGCAATCCAAGGCGACGGGGATCTGCATGCCATGATAGATTAAACCGTGAGATTTTTAAGGACGGTAGTCCAGTTTTAGTTGTTACATCGACTGGGATCTTAGGTAGATTCCGGGAACTAGACGTAATCCAATCTGACTGGTCTGAATCACTGATTGTCCCAGTCGATGAAAAAGAACAAAAGTCCGTTTGTAACAGTCACAGAGGAGTCGGTATAACTAGTATAGTGTCTAAAATATTAGTTTCAATAATACTTCGACGCCTTACTAGAGCTCATGAAGAGCAAACTCAAGAAAACCGGACTGGTTTCAGATCTGGATATCGATGTATAGACCAGATATTCACACTACATCAGGTCCTGGAACACAGACACACATTTAGGCGTCCTACAATAGTTGTCTTCCTGGACCTTAAAGCGGCATTTGGCTCTGTTGATCGTGAGGTTCTGTGGCAGTGTCTGTCATTGAAAGGTTTACCAGAGAAGTAAATCAACCTTATACAAGCTCTCTACTCGAACACTACTGGTCGAGTGAGAGCTTATGGCGAACTGTCACCGGAATTCTTCACTTCAAGTGGTGTACGTCAGGGACGTCCACTTTCTCCATTCTTGTTTAATTTTATCATAGACATGCTCCTAGAAATAACCTTATCCTAGTCTGAATTTTCAGGAGTAGACTTTTTACCTGCTGGCTCGCTTATTGACTTAGAATATGCCGATGACATAGTCCTACTTGATGAAGACGCTGACAAAATGCAGAGTCTTCTGACAACCCTAAGCAACAATGCGAGCATGTTCGGGATGCAATTCCCTACGGTCGAAATGCAAAATGTTGCTTCATGATTGGGTTACAAGGGCACCTGAACTAGTGATAGGGAGTGAAGTAGTCGAACGTGTAAACCGCTTCACTTATCTTGGGAGTCTCATCAGTGCCGATGGTCTGGTGACTGTCGAAATCTCAGCGCGGATACAGAAAGCTCAATTGGCTTTTGCCAACCTGCATCACTTAATGCGCCCGCGAGTTATCCGTTTGCTAACCAAAGGACGAGTGTCCTGTGCAGCAGTTCGCACCGTCCTACTATATGGCTGTGAAACGTCGTACAAAGTCCGTGCCACTGATAACAGATCATAAAGACCATTAGACCAATGTAAGCAATGATCTGAAGACTTCACAAAACTGGTGCTCTGATTATACGGCTAATAGATTACAGCACTGGGCAACAATGCCACAAAGTTACGATTTCAGTCGACAAATACTACCGGTCAAGCCGACGCTCTTCCTCGAATAATTGGGGTTCAGCTTGTTTTATACCAGGGCACTGTAAATCAAAAGGCGTTCCCGTAGCCACAGCTATTCCATAGACATTAGACAGTAATTCGTTGACTATGACTAACTTGTTGGTTATTTCACAATTATACAAATTGACCATCAATTGGCAAGGGTACTTTTACATTGGTTTTCAGGCGAACCAAGGAGACTGCCCACGTGTTAACATTTCGACGTGAACAGTTGAGCTCAGTCCCGTAGCGCATCATACGGGTACCTGACACCCTTGAGGACCATTCACACCATTTATATACATCAGAACATATGTAGTGATCATTTCTGATCCATGATCGCGTCAATCACTATGCATAGCATGAACAGGCCAATTTGACCCATCCTGCTTACATAACTGTCAAACTCATTATTATTAGCAATGATGATATGACAATGACAATCGTCTTCGGGAATGTTGCAAAACAACCACTAGTATCAATGAAATCGGTCACCCTGCCAACCAAATTTGTATATGGACTGTTAGCAATACTTATCAAAGCAATACCAAGCTATCCACAATGTTCACAGCGACCCTCTGATCTCATAGGAAACTTTCAGCCCTATATAGCACTATAGCTTATGGTAAACACATCGTATGGCACAGGATAACAAGAGATGCAGTCCAGGTTCATACAAATGTACTCAAACATAATTATTAGCCTTTTGTCTCGCAATACCGAAATTTTCATTTTTCGACCATATGAGACCTGATTTAGGGTAATAACATGTTCGTTATGAGACCATTAATTTGTGATTACATGTAGGTGATATGTCCCAGATTATTCCCAGTGATGTAGATACATTCGCTTAGTGTTTTCGCTTATCTGTTAAGTTTTAAAACTATCTTATACTTTCCATTTCACCTACTGATTTTTTTCAAATAATATCTATCTATTATCTATTCTACTACCGCCAACACTGTCACTGTTTCTACAATTCTGACATATTTGTTGAAGTGCATTTGTGCCACGATCTACGTTTTTCATAAATGTTAACTGTTGAGGTTATTCAGACGGATTTTGTCAGTTCTGTCTGAACTGGCCTCTGCAGGTTTTTTGCCTTTGTGATAGGGTCTTTGAATCGTCGTCAACTGTCAGTTTTTTGCGTTCATTGTGGCCTCGTTACTGTCGTCTCACAGATCTACGTCCGCTTTTTAAAACCTGATTTGGCTAGACATATCGTCCTTCAAGCTGTACCAAGCTGGAGTGTCTCAGTCTGTCTTGTCGTTTCCTATATTTTACTTAATGGATGTAAGGTTCGACGGGCAGGGCAACCGAGAAATGCATCAGCTTTCGTGGTGAAAAGGGCTGTAATACGCGATAGCCTTCGCCACTGTCGCACATCGTGTGCGTGAGCTTCGTCCATGCCACCGTAAGCGAGTTCGGGTACGCCGTGAGCTACCATAGTGGCCTGCTCTCGGATGCCTCGTGTAGTCCTGGCTGCCGCTCGTACCAACCACGGCTTATCGTGCCTGATGCAAGTTGACGAGGACAATTAGACTGATGGTCTTTGGAATGAAAGGATGATGTCTTCAGCAGGTCCCGCCGAGTCAAGAATTACCCTCCTTGGAGAGGGCTTTCCTTTCGGGACGTTTTGGACTTTGGAAAGGCGGCATATTTTAGCAGGGATGTTACACGTTCCAAGGGTTGTGCAGTACTTATCCAACTGCTCTTTGTCAAAGGCAGTCCTACCTTCTAGCAAACTTTCTTCCGATAATCGGACATTAAATAAAATAAGTGAGTTTAATCCGTCACCTCTGTCCTTGGGTGGTAGCCGCTTGTGAGTTGGAGCCTAGCTATTCCCCTTCTTCGCGTTTACCCACTCTTCTTTATCGCTAACAGATTCTGGGGGGTTAACAAGAACTGGCATTTTTGTCGGTGTGTGTGGCAGGGTTGTGTTGGCCTTGGTCACTTGTTTTACTGATTTAGTGCCAGGCGATTTTTGTTTGGTCGTTAGCAATTTAGAGCTCATTTTGGGTGGGACCTGTCACTTTGCTAATGCCTCAGATACTCTACACCGAGGGCAGATATACCACAACCACGGGCAGGGGTGACACAGCATGAATCAGAAGTACTCCTTAGGTACTGTAGTGTCGCGGTGTCAATGTACACATGTACTACAGAAGTTGTATTCAAAATCACAGTCACTGATTTCGACTGGTAATTGGCAGGCGAAACAATCATCCTTATGAGGTTTCTGAACGTCAGACTGTGTCGACTGAGCCTTGGAACGCCTTTTTCTCCTATTCTTAATTAGCTTACTGGTGGCACTCACAACCAACTGCCAACTGACTAGAATTAGACAGTCGAGTGGCTAGACCTAATTCACTGGACACTACCGAATACCTGGAAGCATACCGAAAGAATAAAAATCGAGCGCAAAAAAATCAATTACATATTGGATATTGGATACTGGAGCCGTTTTCATTCTGTAGGTCAATTGTAGGTCAAGCTATCATGAGTCTTCCTGGATGTTGGTTAGTTTCTGTATGGGTTCGAGTTCTCAAAATGCTAGAATGGTATTTCTCAAGCTCGATATTTAGTCAAAGCATAATACTAATTGGCAACGATCATCTCATTCGTCGTTAAAACAAACTACAATGGCTTTTCACATGTTATTTTTAGGTTATCACTATCAATGAATCAGGCAAACATTTTATACTCCACCTAATAGCTAGGAATATCTCGCATCCGGTGATAAGTTCCTTGGCCTTTAAATAATAACTAAAGGTTCGGGTCGTATATTATCTTATTTGACCGAATTTCCCTCAAATTCAGCAGATTAGGTTGTAACTGCAAGTGACCTTGAAAATATCTTTTTATGACGGATTTTACACTCGTTAAAATGATGCCCATATTATATGAAGGGTCTGTTGATAAAAAAGCATTTTATAAATGGTCAAAACCATCTAATCATTTTAACGAATAAGTGAACAATCAGCTTGATTCCCTTAGCCACTAACTTTAGTAGTATATTCGGCTTTAACCGAAATTTTACATGTAAATGATGCCACCTGTTTATGCAAATAACACTAGTTACTCGTAAAAAGTTAATTACTTTTGTTTCATTAATCAGAACTGATATCTATCGTACGTTACCTAATAATTTCGAGGACCTAGACTGTGAGTATGGCTGACAATTATAAAACTGCTGATTCCGAGTCGGTTACTGATGGAGACGTTCGGTCTACCACATCACAAAATGACCATGCCAATCAGCCACGAGACCCTCATGCGGTGGGGAAAAAAATAAAGTGATTTTTATAAATGACCCCAGTTCAACTAACCTTTCTTTAGTGAGTACCAGGCACTAATGAGTTTAATCAAAGGTAATATTGGCACTGGCATACTTTCTATGCCAGTTGTCCTGAAATATGCTGGTCTATGGGTAAATTTATGTTCCTAAGTTTCTTATTTTCAAGACTGGGTTTACTATGATCATATTATCTGGGATTTTGTCAACGTACTTAATGCATGTTCTTTTGAGAACTGCTAATGCAGTCCAGCAAAGGTATGCAGTCAGAGATCGGACTTGTTCATTCTGAAACCATATTATAGACATAATTGGGATAGATCAAGAATGGATTATGCGGAAACTGCATTTCTAGTGCTCAAATATGGTCCACAAAAATTAAGAAAACCCAAAGGGAAGTTAAAGTATGTTTCTGATTTTTGTGTCATACTTGATTAATTTTAGACATACAGTTAATGGATTTTTGATTGTGACACAAATTGGCTCATGTTGTGTTTACACCTTATTTATCACGGAAAATATTCGTTATGTAGGTTTATGAAATGTGTTTTACAAATTAATTTTTCGTATTCTGTTTATTCTATTGTAAGCTTACATGTACTGTATATCAATGGAATTAAAAAAAGCAAAACACAAATCTACGTTAGTCTGTAGCCCAGTTAACATATGAACAATGAAACTTAGCGAAACACAGACAAGAAATAAAGTTATATTTCGCAATATGGGGTGACGCATGCATTTCAGACCTTTCAAAATATTGTAAATCACGTCGCAATTCTCACTAAATATACTTCAATTATCTTCCAACCCCAAGTTAATTAATTTTCCATTCGTAAATCAACCCACCATAATATGAAGTGTTGTTAAGAAAACAGATACACCTGTATGCTGAATGTGGATCTTAAACTAAACACACAGTCTCAACAATAAAAGTCCTAACACGTGCTTTGTATTAGTGTTATATGAAACAGAAAATCAAATTTCATGAGCTCAAATTGTTAACGGTAGGTTAAAATGTCCGACAAGATTAAATATTAATAGAAGCATGACACTACGTAGATAAGAGAAAGAGCACTAACCAGGGTGAACTCCAATGCTTCAGAGAAGAATCAGCTGCAAATACCTTTCACTCATTCACACTGTAGGACTCAAAAAAATAATTCGTGCTAACGACCCATAATCGCTTCAAGTTCAGATCCATTTTTACGGGATCATTTATTTTT